TTAAAAAGTAACGCAAAAGTAACGTAACGCATTACTTTCCATAAAAAGTAACTAAGTAACGTAATTAGTTACTTTTTTATGGAGTAACGCAATATTGTAATGCATTACTTTTAAAAGTAACTTTCCCCAACACTGCTTACTACTGCATACACAGTATACACATAGTGTACATTTTTGTCTTAAAATAGTTTGTATGTAGTACGTAACTAATGTAAACAGTATTTAGTATGCTATCTTTTGTCATATTACCTCATTTACATGTTTTAAATCCATGAGAAATGTTTACAATTTATTTGAATCTGTTTGAGTGAATAATTTAAAAGATCTGATTCAAAATCATTTATTTGCTAATCAGACATCACTGTTTTTGTTTATGCTTTGTATCTTAAAATGGGACTATTGTTGCTCTAACTCAAGGTTTCCTAAACTGGTGTTCATGAGTTGATGAAACTAGTGATTAATTAAATCATACAAATTTATAATAAAAAAAAAAATAAGTGAAACACTTCAAATTTTAACAAAAGTTTAAATATTTTATTTGTTTATCTGCATGTCATGTGACCATTAAATGTGTTTTGAAATATTGTTGAATTATTGAAATATTAATTTAAAATCCCAAGCGGGATTCAGTGAAATATTTTAGGTAAAAGTGGTTAGACTGACCAAAAAAAATTAACATTTTGTGAATCCCTATCTGAACATGAATGATGATGTGCATAACTGATTATTATGTGTTCATATATTTAAGTGGTCGCTCAACCTGTGAGGAAGAAGGCCAAAAAACATTCCATTACCGACTCTGTGAGAGATCAAGAACCTCTCCACGTGCAGAACCAGAGGGAGTATGAGGAACACTTGCGAAGGGAAGCCAGAGAGGAACAGAAGGAGGAACGGGCGAGTCTGATGGCCATGTGGAAGGAGATGATGGAGTTTCAAGGGAACCTCTTAAAGGAGTTCATACACCGCCCATCTCTGCCTTCACATCCATCTTACCACAGACATGCTCTTCACAACCAAGCACGCTCTAGTTTTCCAAGCACTAGCTACATGCCACTGTACAACTCGCCAGGGTATGAGCACAGACCTCTGATGACCTGTTTTGTTTCCTAGTTCCACTCTAATCATTAAAGGGGTAGTTCACCCAAAAATAAAAATTACCCCATGATTTACTCACCCTCAAGCCATCCTAGGTGTATATGACATTCTTCTTTCAGACGAATACAATCAGAGTTATATTAAATAATGTCCAGGCTAATCCATGCTTTATAATGGGAGTGGATGGTAGCCCAAAATTTGAAGTCCAAAAAATTGCACCCATCCATTATAAAAGAAGTCCACACGGCTCCGGGGGGTTAATAAAGGCCTTCTGAATTGACACGATGCGTTTGTGTAAGAAAAATATCCATATTTACAACTTTATAAACCTTAATCTCTAGTTTCCGCTAGCTGTCGTACGCACGTTCACGAGAGAGTGGCATCCAGCGGATGACGTTTAAATTATTTTTTTTTTTTTTTTAGAAATCTTATTTGCTTTGTCACTGTTGTTAGTTGTTTTCCCTAAATATCGCAATTTAGGTTCAATTTATTTTTATTTCAAGTTTAGTCCAATTAATATTTTATTTCCTGTTAGTATTTTTTAGTGCTTTTTACAGTTAGTTGCCATGACAACATGTCTAATTTTAATTTAATTTAATTTAATCTAATATTTTATTTTTATTTCAGCCTTATTTTTTATTTTAATACTTTGAGTTAACAATAATAATCTTGAATAAGTAATAGTAACATGAACAACATTGTGAACATTTAGCATTTTTCTGTTTTTTATGTTTTTTTGGGGAAAATGTGTGAATTTAATGTGTGAATTAAATATACATTGATTCTTATTAAAGCTACTAAAGTTATTCACTTAAGAGCAGTGAACTATTTGTCTTTTGTTTGATTAACATTAAAAACACAGACAGCAGCAGGTATATTAGGCAGCTGTCACTTTAAGACCTAATGCACAAATCCAGTACATTGATACACATACGATTTTCTCCCAACTGTTTACATTCACTTAAGACATAACTGACTTTATGTGAATACCCCCCAAGATGGGTATTTTGACATAATTTTGTGTGTATTTGATCATTCAAGCGCAAGAAGTCATGAAAGGGAACTGAATTCAGCCTAAGTGTAATATATTTGACAAACTCCATTTTGCTAATTTAACAACTCTGCCCTTTCACAGAGCTGAAACTGAGAATGAAAGTGCAATCTCACATGAAGAAGAGGAGGAGGAGGAGGAGGAAGAGAAATACATTATTCCAGCTGAGATTGCACCTGTGTTGGACATTCAGCCTGTTAACCGTGCGAACGACAGCCAATCAAACACAGCAGAGACTGTTTCTCCCCCGCCTACACAATCAGCAGGAAAGAGCGATCTGGAGATGTCTGTGCTACGCAGACAGGAAAGAGTCTTACAGCTTCAGGAAGAGTACTATTCACTCAAAATCAACTATCTGAAACACAAGATGGCCAAGGATCCATGACAGAATGCTAAAGAGGAGTGTTAAATTTGCTCATTTTTATGGCAGTTTACTAGCAGTTGTTTGCAAAATTGTCTCCATTTTCTCCACTAAACGTTACTGGTCTTATTATAAGTGATTCATTAGTTTGTTGTGTAACAATCAATCACACAATTATGTCTTGCTTTATCTTTTATGTTCCCATTTAAGGTTCTGTTTTGCACAATATAGCAGTAAAATGGGTTGCAAATGCAGTTTAATGTTGACAATAGGAACTACCGTGAGCTAGATGTTACACTTCTAATGTGGAGTATGTCCGTTACCATTATTTTTCATTAAATGAATGAAAACCAGCGAGGAGTCAGAAACATAGTATTCAAAATACTAAATCAAAAGCAAAAGTCTTTTTCAAAGAATTGTTTAAAGCAGGGATTCCCAAACTATTTAGTCCGTCAAACCCCCTTTGAACTAAAATATTTTCTTGAGATTTTAAGTTATATGTAATATTTGAAAACATTTGCATGTTCACGGTTCTGTGATGTCAGTTAATGGTCACATGACATGCAGGTAAACAAATAAAATATTGTTTTTTTTTTAATAATTCACATTTTTGTATTTTATTTTGAAGCTATTTATTTATTTTGCATTTTAAAATGTTTAATACATATTGGCTTTTCATTATCTCACAACCCTCTGCAGTTCCTTTGTGAAACCCAGATTGGGAAACTGGTTTAAAGGAACAGTTCATCTGAATACAAAAAAAAGAGAAAAATCTGTTGTTCTGAACCCTTATGCTGTTATTTGTTCTGTACACAGCTCTTACAACATCTGTCAAGCTTTAAAAGGGACCAAAAGCACACAAGTCTTATGGAGTATTTTGTGTTCCCTTACGTCTGTCAAACTCCAAAAAGGCCCTTTTTGAGCTTGACAGACCCGGGTCACTGAACTGTCAGTGTGTGGCAAGAGCTGTGCAACAATTCTTCGAAAATGTCTACATTTGTGTTTCACAGAAAAAAATAAGAGCATACAGGTTTGGAATGAGTAAATAATGACAGGATTTTCGTTCTATAGGTTTATGCTATAGCTCCAAAAGCTCCAGCTATAATGTTTTTTTATCCTTCCATGTTCTTTTCTGTTCATTATCACTCTCTTTCTCTTGTATTTTCACTTCCATCTCTCTGTTGTTCCCAGTCTCCCTCCTGCTATTACTTCTCACATGAAGACATTATGATTATACGACAGACCTGTCTTTTGTTCAGTGTTTTTGTTTTAAAATGATTTGTGATGCCAAATTGGCTAGGATTTTCACTTTCTTTACTGTTAATTCATAATTTTTTTATGGTTCAGTTTTTTGTGAAGAAAAAGTTTATAGATCTGAACATGAAAGTAAATTTTTTTTTTTTTTCCAATTATAAGGAATGTTTTGGATTACATACAAATCAATAACTAGAGCTTTATAGAGCTTATATCTATAACATGCTGTTGATTATATAAACACAAATATAGATTTTATTTAATGTATTTGGCAGATGCTTTTATTCAAAGCAACTTATATTGCATTTAAGCATGCATTTAATACAAGTGCACATTTAATCAAATTAATGTGATTCGCTGAGAATTGAACCCATGATCTCAGTGTTGTTAATGCACGCTCTACTGTTTGGGCTGTAGGAATGGAGCTAATCATTTTGAATTGTCCTTAAATTTGTAAAAACAAGTTACAGTTGGTCGGCAGGGCTGTTTTAACCATTGGGCTAGGCGGGGCTGAAGCCCCGGGGCCCGAGCAAGGAGGGGGCCCGTGATTGGCTGTGGAGTAGATTGACTGGAGCGCCAATCCCCAAAGCCACCACGCCCCCCACTTATTAGCGCTGTTATTTAGTTGAGCTTTCCCGTAAATTCCATGCATTACCATTTGAGATTGAAACGTAAAGTTTGAATTTGGTTTACCAATCAAATGCATTTATTCTATATTTGACTTTTGAACGATATGCGCACGTATGTATCAGATGTTTGCTGCCCAGTATGTCTGCATTCACCTCTCTTCACTTTGTTCTGGAGTAATCTGGAAATGGTCGCGCAAAGAACAACATTCAATAAGTAAAAATGTCAGCAATTCTAAAAGAGAGAGGGGCTCAAAAAACGAAAAACTTCAAATACAAACAACATAAAAAACACGATTTAGTAATTTCCCCAGCTATCAGGATATTTTACTAAAGCTGATGATGGAGTGGAAGTTGCTGGAACAGCAAGTGAACCGGGCACACGGAGCAGATAAAAACAGTGTCATCGTCCACACAGATTTTAGATTAGTTTGATTATTAACTGGATTTATATTGTTTTTGTGTTTGAACAAACTATATTCATTTAAGGGTTGGGAGATAATCCGGTAGAAATATATCAATCGTTGATTGAAGCACGTC